ACTGCCAGGCATTGTTCCGTATGTGTCAAGGTCAGGGAGGTTTTGAGAATTCGATATATCAAACAATGGCCCCGTACTCTCCGGTAAAAGGGGATTCTCCGCTATGGTAAATTGGCCAGTCTGCGCGGTCCACGAGTCTTGAGCTACATCGGGCCCGGGTAAGCAGGTACCAAAGTACACGTATTGCGACTCTTGGGACTCGTTCATCTTTGTACCAATCTTGTCTGTCACCGTCGACGAGAGGCTATGCAGTTCCTTTAGGGTCATGTGGAGTTCGTCCCGCGTGATATGATTCTGGCAATCCGAACTGACGGCATCCAGGCGTTGTTGCAAGACCACGTTTTGTTCTCTCAGTTTTCGCACTTCCTCATTAGTCTTCTGTTTTTCTAAGGTGATTTGCCGAATCTTAGCGTTTAGCTGCGCCCGTTCGGTGCTAAACCGCTGCTCGGCCTCGGAAGCTTCCCGCTGCTGCTCAGTAAGGCGCGCTGTAAGTCGCTGACGTCGTTCTTCGGCCGACTTGATCATTTTGGTGCAGTTTTCATGGACAGTCTCAAAGTCTGCGTTCGTCTCGTTCGTTGATGCTATTTTCGGAGGCATCGTAGCTGGAGCCTACGCACAAGTAACAAAATAAGTTATTTCTACCTCACATCTGCCTGTCATTATGCAGCGCTTACCATCGGTCGCATCTTGGTACCCTTAGACACATAATGGGGCACATGGTCGACTCCAGTGCGCAAAGGTCGAAGCGCTCGCGTGGAGGTCTTACCAGCCGCCGGCGACCTTCGAAAAACCCGAGTCGGGGCTGACACTGCGGGGACCCTAGGCATAGCGGATGAAAATGCAAACGGTAAGTGAAAGAGAAAACCTTCCCGAGCAACGAGCAAGAGCATAACAGAGCGCTGCCGTTATAAGTGATGATTGGGAGAGGATAAACTAGGGTTTTAATCATGTTGGCTTAAAACTGATGCTCAAACCTATAACTTCGTTTAACAGCGCAACCGGTATTTCATTATCCGCGTTGGTCAAGTTCCTCATTTGAATGAAGATCGCGTCCTACTTCAGGTCGTTCCGAGAAAAGCTGTCCTGTCGGGCTCTAATCGCTGATTTAAACGGAGTGATTATTTCGCAAAGAATGATCCAACAGTTTATTTCTACTTAAAACTCATCAGATTCTTTTATATTCTGAGGCTCGCAAATTGCTAATTCCACATCTTTGGGGAGCAAATCTTCCTCCCCAAGATGGGAAGCTTTTTGCCTCGCCGGAATCAATGCGAGATGATGCTGAAAATTTATTGCACAACGCAAGGTAGACACAATAAATAGGCCTTTGAATTGGCAAGTCATCAATTATGCTGAGTTTACTGCTTCGACTCACTAAGAGGATTTCAAACATAGGTTAAGCACATTTTGAACACTCTTTAAACACATTAGGAACAATCTTTGTTTGCTCTAATTTTTGCCTACTTCATTGATCGGTTTTTTTGCGCATATTATTTTCTCACTTTCAAATATTCCCAGTCTCCTAGATCGGAGCAAATTAATCAAGTCTAATTGTTGCTCCTGCTACAAGCCAAAAGCATGGTTCAAAAACTACATGTCCATTTGAACGAAGGTATCAAGGCGGAGGAGAAAGGGCAAAAGATCTATCTAGTGAGATGGTGCCTTTTCAGGAGTCTGATAAGAAACGCCGCCTGTTGTCTTCAGCGATGCTAACTCCTCCTTGTACATGAGAAGCAAACCCAATTAGGTTTAGTGGGCCGAAATCCCGCAGAATTCTTGGATCATGTGGTATGGTGTTGAGCTAAATTAGGGTAGCTCATGTGAGAGTCGGGAAGCACACTGCGTTCCTATTGGGCGACTAACTCCCGATATACAGCTGACTACGTCGGGGTGCTAACCCGAATTGGAAGGGAGAATCCTAACAGCTCAGCGGGTGTAAAGGAGAATATGACTAATCTTGGCCCGAGGTGCCGAAGTTCATCGGGTGCCGAAATATGTTCCCCGGTAACCATTTATGCTGAGACTTATGCATTTATGCCCTAGTTATACACGGTTCAACTTGAGTTGAACCCCCGGTTGGACCCCTACCTTACTAAACTGCACCATGCCTCCATACAGCTGACAAAACGTATGTTACTAACTAATTCCTCAACGACTCGTAATCTTCATTCTTTGATTGGAATACGGAGGAGGTCGTTGAAATAGTAATTAATTACGTATAAAAAAGAATGTCAACACTTATTCAGCGTTGAAGTTTGAAAGGTACTAACAAACAAATGAGAGATATATCTTTTATGGGAGCCATCACCTTTTAACCCCCATGAAGTTCGAAAGCTTAGTTCATCAGAATCAACTCACTTCTCATCCCTACATTGCCACTTTCGATTCCATTGCTCTCATTGCCTGGTACGTCCTTGGTAAATCATGGTATGTTAAAGTAACTGACCCGTCATGGGGCGGCTCCCGCATCTACGCAAAAGAAGGCTTTATGCCTGCTGACAAGTGAGACCGATCATATGAACATTTCGAACCTGCGATAAGTGGACTGACTAGTGGATTGCCCAGATGCCGCAAATGGGCACCCTTTTATTTTTTTCTGGTGGGGTTGTGGCACAGCAAATCGACAGCCAATACTTTAGCGCTTTGAACTGAGACAAGTTGGGTGGGATGATTGACTGATCATAACTACAGTATGTAGAAAGGCCAGTTTTACAATTTCCCAAATTCTTGCCTGGTCACCACTACGAATCTCAAGCTTCGTGCCCCCACCACTACCTCTTCGTCAGAATATCCTTGACCAATGGAATACTGTACTACGACGGAGCCAAGAAGTGACTATTTGCTGGTCCACTGCGATCCCCCAAGCCGGTTGTATAATCCTTGTTCCAGTTCACTCAGACTCTAGTTTATATAATGCTATCAACTAGATCTCGAAAGATATCTTCTGGCAGGCTGCTAAGCAATTGCGCTGTTGTAATGCAAAAGGAAGCTTGATTATTCTCATTTCAGATGGATGCGGAGAGGCCATATATACAGCATGAAGTTCCAAGTCGATTTCCAATCAACTTGGAACTTCTTATAGATGGTGTAGGAATCATTTCCGATGCTGCAATTTCATTCCTGAGCAGCCACAGCCTCATATCACAACAATTACAGATAACGGGGTATCTCAGTGATAAGTCACTCCAGAGGATATCGCACGATTGGGAAACACGTTCTAATAGCTAGAAGGGTTATCTGAAGTAAGCAAATTTGTGACTTGCGCCTGATTATGGAGCATCAACCTGACGATTCACTTGTGCGGAAGTTCTATGCCTGGTATTGATGCCTACTATAGCAGGTAACTCTCACGTATTCAGATAATCTTTCGCTCCCTTGCACTCTCTTCTTCTTCCTTACTAATGCCTAGTTGCTTCATTACATGCTACTACGTTGGTTGATACAGTGCCGCCCGTTATTGCCTTCCATATCTGGAGACACAGAGATGCTTTTTCAAACCCTAGTCACGGGATCAGAGAAACCTGATATGGAATAGCGTAAATTACGAGTTATGAATATACATTGTAATGGAATCAGATTTTGTACACCAGCTGTATCGACACAAGTTCGTGGAAGCATGGCGAACCAGCAACCGTTCGCAATCTGGCGACTGCCGACCCCCCCCCCCCCCCCCCCCCCCCCCCCCCTCCATCCCTCAGTTGCTTCACTGCAGAGGGTCTGGCGTACCCTACATGTTCATCTCGGTCAAGTTGGTAGGCAGTGCTTGTTTCGTCATCACTATCGCTTAACGTAATCCACGGTCGAGCTGGCCACACGGCCGAGATGGCCACCCCAAAACACCATACTAAATGCGATGAATTACAACTTCATATCTCAACAACCATACATAGATAATATATGAAATAAAGGTAAAAGATACTTAAGCTTACAGATAGCTTACTAGTCTATTAAAAAAAGAAAGATTTAAGTAACTGGAGAGATATATATATTTGAATCTGAAACATCAAAATTACGGTGTATTTTATGGTAAAGCATTCAAGAAATAGTCTAATGAAGCTAAAATCTATCATAGCTCTTCCTTTACCTATTTACGTGTATATCCTATAATCTCAACTAAAATAAATACGTGGTGGTTGAAACATAGAGAAATCAATATTCAGCATCTTGTATGGTGATTTGGGGTGGCCAGCTCGGCCGTGGATTACGTTATCACCATTTGCCCGCTTCGAGTCTTGATTGGGCATCAGGCATTCCTGGCTAACCCCTTATAGCTCTAACCCCCTAGCCCTGCCTCGTAACTAATAGTATATCCGAAAATAGCCAACGCCCACCCTAGCGTCGTCCCCACAGACTCGTTCAAACCCAAACACCAACTGAATATCTGAATAGACTCATTACCGCCTCCCGGTCCTCTTTTTGCAAAGAATTTAAGAAGTAAAAAATTATGAAATTGACAAAAATAAGCTTCCTACGAGAGACATTCGGCGTTTAACAGGGTAGATTCTGGGAATCAAAGATGAACAATAGGACCTGTCCCGAAGCACAACCAAAACATACTGCCGCTTGCGATATGGCGAAAGTCTCTGGCCGGTACTCTGGTGGTAGCCATAGCAGATTCTCCGTGTTCCAAGTGATGTATGTACCATCTGAACTCACACCGTAACCTTTATATCGCGGCACTTCCGGATGGATGGTAGTTGTTGGCCCCATGCCTGAAACAAAAGATAAACAAATAGTACCGTTACTAGTTTCGAGATATGACTTGGTAGTATTGAATGATTTCAGAGAGGTGACTCTTCCAGTATTAAGAGCTTGAAGTAACTGGCCACTTCTGACATCCCATACCTTGAGACTGGCATCGCGTGATGCCGAGGCGAGGAGCTTGGAATCGCGGGAGAAGACGATCGAGTCGACTATACAGCTGTGGCCTCTAAGGGTCTGTAGGCACTGGCCACTGCTAGCATTCCATACTTTAATAGTGTACTTGTATGACACCGAGGCTAGGACCTTGGACTCATGGGAGAAGACGACCGAATTGACCCAGTCAAGATGGCCCCTGAGGGTCTGGAGGCACTGGCCACTCCCAGCATCCCACACCTTAATAGTGGTATCATGCGATGCCGGGGCGAGGGACTTGGAATCATGCGATGCCGAGGCGAGGAACTTAGAATCATGGGAGAAGGCGACCGAGTCGACCGAGCCACGATGGCCCTTAAGGATCTGGAGGAGCTCGCCGCTCCTAGCATCTGATATCTTGATAGTGCTATCGTGTGACGCCGAGGCAAGCAGTTTAGAATCGTAGGAGAAGGCAAACGAGCTGACCTCGTTATTATAGCCATGGAGGGTCTGGAGGCACTGGCCGCTGCTAGTGTTCCACACTTTGATAGTGTTGTACGACACCGAGGCGAGGAGCTTGGAATCGTGGGAAAAAACGACCGAATTAACCCCGCCAGGATGGCCCTCAAGGGTCTGGAGGCACCGGCCGCTCCTAGCATCCCACACCTTGATAGTGTTATCGGATGACCGAGAGGCGAGGAGCTTAGAATCGTGGGAGAAAAGTACTGAGTTGACGATACTACTATGGCTCTCGAGGGTCTGGAGGCACTGGCTGCTCCTGGAATCCCATAATTTGACGGTGCGATCGTCCGAAGCTGAGGCGAGTAGCTTGGAATCATAGGAGAATGATACTGAGTTGACGGTACTATTATGGCCCTTGAGGGTTTGGAGGCATTGGCTGCTCCTGGAATCCCACAATTTGACGGTGCGATCGGCCGAAGCTGAGGCGAGGAGCTTGGAATCATAGGAGAATGATACTGAGTTGACGGTACTATTATGGCCCTTGAGTGTTTGGAGGCACTGGCTGCTCCTGGGATCCCATAATTTGACGGTGCGATCGGCCGAAGCTGAGGCGAGGAGCTTGGAATCATAGGAGAACGATACTGAGTTGACGCCACTATTATGGCCTTCGAGGGTATAGAGACACTGGCCGCTGCTAGAGTTCCACACCTTGATAGTGGCATCATGTGACGCTGAGGCGAGGAGCTTAGAATCGTGAGAGAAGACGACCGAGTTGACCGAGCCACAGTGGCTCTTAAAGGCCTTGAAGCACTGGCCAGTGCTAGTATACCATACCTTGATGATAGCATCGTGTGATGCAGAAGCGAGGAGCTTTGAATCATGAGAGAAGGCGACGGAATTGACTGAGCCACGATGGCTCTGGAGACGATAGCTCTGGAGGGTTTGGAGGTACTGGCCACTACTAGCATTCCACACCCTGACGGTGGCATCGTGTGACGCCGAGGCGAGGATTTTAGAATCGTGGGAGAAGGCGACAGAGTTCACCCTATCACTATGGCCTTCGAGGGTATAGAGACACTGGCCACTGCTAGCATTCCACACCTTGACAGTGGCATCGTATGACGCTGAGGCGAGGAGCTTAGAATCGTGAGAGAAGACGACCGAGTTGACCGTATCGCTATGGCCTTCAAGCGTTTGGAGGCATGCGTTCCAACCCTCTTCCATCGTAGGTTTTCTAATTATCCATGCGGGCTGTTGTCCCCCAAATTGGATCCCTGTTATGCTCCTACCCGGGTTAAATATCAGTCCTGAAGCGTATACTTGAAGTGGGTGCTTCTTAATTGCCATTTTATGGTATAGGACAAACCGCCTGGCATCTTGAACTCTATCAAGGAGGTGTGAGTCCTTCGCTGTTGACTAAAATAATATCATTAAAATCGTCCATGAGATGTTCTTTACGAGCCGAAACAAACCTGAAGCAAATATTGGAGCTTAACCATCGAAGCTACTCCCTCGAATAAGCTTCCTGATAGGCTAAGAGCCTCGAGCCAATGAAGGTAATCCTGGCGGAAAAAGCTTTCAACTAATCCATTATCCTTGATGTCTTCACTAGCATTCTTGCCAGGAAAGCACTGGCTTAGGTGATCAACCCAATAGACACACGAATAACGCATTGCGGCTAGTGGGTCTGGCTCTGGCTGGTGGACTTGATCGATCGGATATCCAGGAGCGACTAGGCCATAGATGTCGCGGTGCAATGTTCTTGTCAATGACTTTAACGATTTTGAGAATATTGAGTGATGTACTTTCTCTACCCCGTCAGGGAAGATCTCAAGGAACGCTTCTTTCATGAGATAGTCGTTGGCTGATTGATGCACCAATGAGATTGTGCGTCCCCGGAGAGTCAGGAAAGAGCCACACAGCCCTAAAATCTCTTCTAAGGCCTCGATAATCTCTTCGGAAGTTTCATAATCGCCCTCGGGCAGGTCGATGCAAGACGCCAATTCGTCTAACGTGACAGGCCGGTAAACAGTCATGATAACGCCGAGAAGAGACTTACAAGCTTGACCATCACATGACCTGCTTCCCAATTTGTTAATTTGGTTCCACATTCGTTCATAAACCGTGTCAAGTCCAGAGGGAAACTCAAGTAATTGCTTCCTAACGTGTCTCTTGGAAACGTTCATGAGTTCCTTGCAAACCAGGGCTACCCAGAGGAAGGTGCCATTTGCCTTCGACACCAAATGATGCTTGATAGCATCCTGTAGTGCTGCGCTATAATTGTTCCTTTTTATTAACTCATTTATCTTGTATTGGATAAAAAAGTTAACAGCACCCGATAGCCTAGCCTCATTTAAATCAAGGCGGAGCTTTAATTGCGTTGCGCCGTCAAGTTCTTTCTCAATCTTCGGCCAGTTACGGCTAGAGACGACCCATTTCACATGCGAGTATGCCGACGACTTCTGTACAAGTAGACGAAGAAGTCGGTCCAGGCCACTAGTGCATTCGTCAAGTGCATCAATAATTAGATAAGTCCTTTGAAGTTGCGGGTCGTCGAGTATATTGGTGAAGACTCGGAGTAACGCGAACCATGCATTTTCGCCCTCGAAAGACTTGTCACGGATATGGCTCATAAAACAAGGTTGTTGTTGCACAAGCATATATATGAGTCCCCGTAGAACTGCCGTGGCACTATTGATGCGACTGTTCGTAGCTTGGCAGAAGAAGAAGGAGATATTGGTGTGACTCATCGCCATCTTTGATAGCTCGTCAATGATCCCACATAGCAACATTGTCTTGCCCTTGCCAGGATCACCCTTGATCCAAAGAAGCTGGCCACATCTCACATCCCTCCATCTTTGGAAGTCGACATCATCAAGCACCCAGATATACGAGTCTCTGAGAAGACCTCCCTTATCTTCCTCGATTCGAGCTTTGTCGAGGCAAGGATCAGTAGCCTGAAGAGTGTCTCGGTACTGTCGATCCTCGGCTTTGGACAACCTTTGCTCAGCAATCGAAGGGGAAGCTACTGGTAACATAACCGAGTTTCCTCAGTGGCTCTTTGACAGCTTACCTGGATGAAGATAAACTGGTCCATTACTGATCCCTACCTGGAACCCTGAGTTATTCTTGTCGAAATATATAGAAGTCATAGTTAACATGCCGTATAGTGGTTTGGTTTTTACAAAAGCTGCCAACCCTTGGGTGATGAGAAATCATCAGTAACCCCACCATCAGGTGACCTCGCGAGCGCCAAAATTTGCATTACCACTCTCTCTTACAGTACGTCGCGAAACCGATGCAACCGCCTCCGCTCTTCGAGAGATTCTCTAAGCCCACTGCCAAGAGACACTAGGACGTACTATTCCTCTCGGAATATCAATATTCCTGTACCAGTCTTGATACTATTATATACTTTCATTAAATACGGTGCCTTGTGTCGTAACTGTGGCGACCCAAGTTGTCAACTTATGTGTGTGCAATACCCCGCACTGAGCGTGTGTATGCTTATGCACGCTAACGCTATTCGGATCGATGATATTTCATACCCTGGGACGCGGCTATTTTTGGACACGTAACGGTACATGAGTATACTTTCATTCCTGGTACCATACAAACCTAGAACAAAATATTAATTACGGAGAAAATTATATAAGGGTTAGCGTGGCATGTGATTAGGGTTTGAAAATGTGAGTCTATGTTTCCAATATGGAATGCAATACCGGTCGGCACGGTATCTGTCTCTTTGTACCCGGGCGTAACAATCAATACGAAGAAATGAGTTCTCTTAGCCTTGACAAGCGGAGACGAAGATCTCAGAGATTGTACTTTATATGATAGATAATATCAGGCCCTAAGAAGCTATCCATTTGTCAAAAAGTTTCACTCGAAGGCTATTTGAAAAAGATCTTGGGCCAATATACTCCTCAGTTGTGTTTTCAGATAGTTCCTGCTCTTTAATGTTGGTTCTACTTGTTCCTGGCATTCGGTACATGTACATAGACTGATGTAGATATGCATAGTCTGGATTGTATGTAAATGTGAACGACAGCGCGTATTATGCCCACTAAATGTCTCAGCCCCAAGGGTTCGAAGCATGGGACCAGGATTCTCAGCATGCCCCACCCCAGGGTGCCTCCGTTACTTTTTACTCTTACTGTAGCTTTTCCATCAAAAAGTTGACTGCGGTAGGACGCCGCTTTCTTAGCCGTGTGATTAAATCTGAGGATTGAGTTTCATAGTGGGTTTTCTCATCCGGTACTGGACTGCTTTTAGAGGAAGCCAAAGTAGCATGGTATCACTTCTCATCTAGCCATAAATGTGACACAAGTTTACATTCTTTCCATAAAACGTTCACATCTAGCTGTTCATATATCGCCAGCCAGGTTCTATTGCCCAAACATGGGGCGAACAATTGATTACCGATACAATATTCGTTCGGTTACGAAGGACTCTCTGTCGAAGGCTTCCTTTAGCGAAAACAACTTCCTTCGAGTCTTTGAAGATACATGCATAATTCGGCTTGCCTTGGTATCCCTACCTCAAGTGGCTTGTTGATGGTAGCAGTTCTTGTAAAATTTCCGCTCAAACTCGGTGAGATAGCAAGAAGGGATGTTCTTAGTATTGGCTGTCAAATGCTGGTAACGCAACAATAAATCCTTTACCACAAGGAAAATAGAACCATAGATTTAATTAATGATTTTTTAACAATATTTCCCTCATCGAATTGGTCTACAACTAGAAGTTCCGGAAAATACTATTTAACCATTAGCAAGAAGTTGCGGTCTTTACCCTGGCTGGATCCAAAGGTTGGTGGCCCATTCCAATCGACACCGATGCAAATTTAAACTCTGCTTTTTTCCTTAAGTTCTGCAGGGTTCCGAGCTTTGGCCTTTTGTATCCCGGATCCCAGAAAAAAACTTGAAGGTAGCCCATATGAATGGCTCCAGTCATGAACCGTGTAAAGCAGGAACAACTACGAAAGCGTCGGAACAATCTCTTGCGACGCCATAATGATTTCTGGCGTCTGTATGCCATTCGGAGCTGGTTAACAATGGAAATGCCGAATGGGAGAATCTATACATACCATTCTCATCCCGGAACTCCTGCCCCAACTAAACAAGAAATTGTAAGAACTACGCAAGACACCAGGAGTGAGCTGATTTTGACGGTTACAGGATAATCGTTCGCAGCCTGCAGTCCATAGAACACCTGCTGACTACAAACCTACTATTTCGTCAAATTTGATGATTCCGAAGCCCCCAATCTTCAATTTTCCAGAACGAAGAAGCGATATATGGAGCCTCATTAACTGTACATGTGATGGCCCTGGAAACTAGCAGCTATTCAATTACTGAAAGACAGATAGTGGATGGGATTGCGGGGAGGGGAAATGGCCTATTGGATCTTCATCTTTCATTTTTACTACTTTTTCGGATAAAGCCAAACATATCTCAGAATTTGACCCTGCATGAGTTTGCTGGTATGATATGTAAAGTATCTTTCAACTCTCCCTCTAACGAAGCCAGCAAATGATTCACTCTAGGTGTTGAAGTGTCTTTAGATACAGTACACTTTAGATTCTGACACGTCAAAAGTGTGGAAGATATGAACAGCTACACACTAAAGTATAACTTTTGCGCATTGCATTACTCTTGGAATGCCCACATCGCCCTCAGAAACAGCTTGATACCATTTCTTGGTCAGTAACTGGCAAACCAGAATCTCAGAATAGGTTTATCATGAGTACAAAAACCTAATTAGACTTGAAAAGAACCAAACATCCAACACGCCGCCCTCGACGGTCATACACTGGTCACAATACAGCACGAAAATGTGTTCTCCAAGCAAAGAGTGTTATCTATCAGTCGCTAGCAGTGAGTTGCTCACAGGAGGATATGTCCGACACTTATAATGGAATGTACTCTAGGTACTGGCCTTATTTTCAAGAGGTGCCTAACTTTTCCTGCTCAATATCAAGTGGGAGTGGCGTATAAATATATAACACGGACATTCCTACAGCGGCTTCCTCAATGGTTTGCTCTTAATAGCAGCACTGTAAATATAGCGAAGTAACTATAGATCAATCAGCCCAAAGTATGAACTTTCCTACCATTCTAAAAAAGGGGAAGTTGCTATTCTCGCTGGCTGGTCAAAGAAACCCGGGAGTAACTCAAAACTAAAACGAGACTCGATACTGTAGCCCAAAATTACACTACACTTGATTATGATCCTGTACAAAATCTAGAAATCCCGATGTGGGAATGGTTGTGGTTTCCAATGAAATGCAAAACCCCATCCTGCGTGTTTGTACCAAATACTGGAGAATAAATAGTTTCACGATAAATTCAGTGACAAGGTCTGCCCGAACAGTCAATGGATTGAGTGACGACATTGACAAGGGTTGTGCGTAACCCAGCGGTGGGATTTATGCATGCTGGCCTTCACTTAATTCCGCAACTTCACACTTCAAATTGATGGAATTGCGTAACAACCTTGTTGACCAGTCACTACTAGCTATCCTGGAATCTGAAAAAGCCATGCTAAAGTTGTACCCACTGTAGCTAGGAAAAGGCAGGCTATCACTAGCAGGAAGGATTTTGTATAGCTTTTAGCACCATACGTCCCACAGTAATCGTGTGTAATGTCTTTTCCACTTCGCTGGACAGTTTCAAAGAAGTACAATAACGTCCCCGGAATGACTGGGTATACCGGTGGCAGGAGCCAGTTCGTACTGATGTAAAGATCATATGTTCAATTCATTCGCGCCCGCCTCTTTCAACATTTTAGTATACGATAACGCGACAGAATGCTTGAACAATAAACAAAAAAGAGAGATAATGGGGACAGATGTGTTAATCTAAGATCTTGAAAGTCTATATTATATACTACAGTAACCTTCAACCTGCCTATTAGTCCTGTCCAATATAAGACTTTCCTGTTGTGGACAAGAGAAGAAAATAATGATGCCATCAGAAAAAGACATTGATTGTCACTAATATCAGCCACAAAATGACACTCGAACTTGATTATCAGCAAATTTAATTCATCATTTCGATCCCCAAGATGGCACACAATACTTTTTTAGAGTGGATGTATTAATGTGCTGCTAAATAAATCTCAATTTTAGTCACGCAGAGAGTGGTTGAATAACGTTTCTATCCATTTCCTAGTTAACTTGTGTAATATTTATAGACTGAAGTTAATCCTGGATGCCGTAAATCTATCTTCATATTCCCAATGGCATCTTGGCTTGACCTTATATCAGAGGCGCAAGGATGGACCTTGGTCGACACAGGGCGGCTAGAGAAGCTAGTGGAAGGCATGAGCCATCCGCATTCTCAATACCCTTCTTTAGTTCTTTTTGCAGGAAATGCCTCTCGGATCAAAGCCCTTCAGGCTTTATTTCCCCATAATAACGTCACACGGAGAGGGCCAGCGGGCTTCACTAGGCTACATCTCAGTACTGAAACTGCCGAAAGCGAGCACCCTGTTCTCTTTGCAGAGGGTAGCTTACTCAGGGATTCTGGTCTAGGCGGATCAAGCCTTTGTCGCTGGCCAACTGAGAAACTTCGAAGATATCCCATCTTTCAAGGCAGGACGTCTTCTATAACGGACATAAAGCAGCATGTGATATCTAAACTGCTTCTCCCATGGACACAAGTTCTATGTTTCTTTGTAAATGATGCTGCAGAAGTACAGAAAGTATATCAGGTACTTGATGTCCCTCGGTGCAAAGTTAAATTTGGATCACAGTTCGTCCCAAATTTCCTCCGTGTAGTTATAGTAATAACGAGCAATGACGAGCGAGGGTCACATGATACGGCTCTTCACCAATCAATCCAAAGGTTAAAGGAGGATATGAAGCTGCAAATCATCGTTGTTGACCTACGAGACCGGCATCTTTTATCTCCAAAGGCAGCCTTCGAGCCTTTACGTCGTGAGGTTCTAAGTCAAATTCAAATCTCGCGAAGGGAACAAATTGACCAAGGTTTTGCATTTTCTGCGCAACACTTGTGCACTCTCTGGAACCGAACTCTCGAGCAAATTAAGACCAGATTGGAGAGTTTAACCATAGACTGCCTCGCAATTGCACGAGAGAACCACAAGCTCAATTTGGTCACTAGAAATCACATAGAAGTCTTTTTAAACGAAACCACAA